TTTTATATAAAAAGATTATTAAGATTATAAACTTGAAAAGCATGAGATTTCAAGCATTCATCCAAGTTGTTTGAGTTCCTGATACATATAAGGCACCAGGGGGAAAACAAAACTGGAACACACCTGGAGCAAGAGTATGGAAAGTACTGATGTGGGGATGTTTGTCCTTCCTCCTCTGAACAAGGGTTGGGGGACTTGGTCCACAATGATTTTTTTTTTTTGTGACCAGTAAGGGAATTGCAACCCTTGGCTTGGTGTCGCCCACACCGCGCTCAGCCAGTGAGCGCACCGGCCATCCCTATATAGGATCCAAACCCGCGGAGGGAGCGCCACTGTGCTCCCAGCGCCGCACTCTCCCGAGTGAGCCACGGGTCAGCTGGGTCCACAATGTTTTTAAATGAAGACTCATTTTATAGCATGTTCTGAAATGGATAGAATTTGGGCCTTTGCTTTTTTTTTCTACTGAGCTCTCCATCAGAGCAAAGACCTCGTGTCTTGGAATCCCTAGTACATAGTAAATGTTTGGGAAAAGTTCTCAATAACTACTTGCTGAATATTAGTCTGGAAAAACTGAGCAGTTGTTATATAATATAAATAATTACAGCCAAAACTAGGATAACAGAAGTGGAAGGGACGGTATAGCAAGTGATATTGAAGAGATGAAATATATCATTTGATTGGAGTGAAAACTCAAAAACAGCCCAACATTTTGACCATTCTTTCTGAGAAGGTTGTTAACTTATGAGAAATACAGGAGTGTTGAAAGAAATTAACTATAGTGTTGCAAAAGATAACCAAACTACATGTGTGTGAGCTCCCTGGGATAGTGGAGCAAAACAAAGATTTTTTAGAAGTTCATATAGATAATGTTAGAATTGAAATAGAGAAATAGAGAAAGGATTTTTCCAAACATTTGAATAAAACTAGAAGGAGATTTAAGAGGTTAGAACCTGAAATATATTCACATCAATTTAGAGATTTGGAAATTTTTCTCATGTTGTCTGAAAGTAAGGTAATTTGGCTTTTTAGAACTAATTAATTGATATATACATGCTACTACATGCCCCAGCCCTCTGGCAGCCACTGTATGAGTTCCAAACCTGAATACCACCAACCTGCTGAGAGAGCCCACAGCTGAGTGGGGAGTGTGATGGTTTCCGCTCACGAAGGATCCCAAAGGAGTCCTTTGCATGCCCAAATTGCAGGGGTGCCATTTCTTTAGCACTGTAATTGTTTAATGTAGCTCATTAAGTACACCATAGAGCATGACAGAGCACATTAACTTTTCTCACTTAGTTACTTGATTAATATGTAGATGATGTTATTTTCCTTTCTATAATTTTGCAGAAGATACTCAGAAGTCATGACTAAGGAGAAATCAGGAAAAGTAATGAAAAGTCTTTCTCCTCTACTATCACTAGAAGTAAAGAATCAAATGCTCTGTTATTACACTATTGCTGGTGGTGGTGGTGTTAATATTGTTTTATAGTTCACAAACTGTTGTCATGAGGAATTTGATATTCAATCCTCATCCAGCTTTATGGGCTAGTTAGAGTGGGGAGTGATAGCATCTCTATTTTAAGAAGCAAGAAATAGAGGCTTGGAAAATTAAGCAATTTTTAGAAAATACTAAAATCAACATTTATTTATTTATTATTATTTTATTTTATTTTATTTTATTTTATTTATTTTTTGTCCTTTTTGAGACCGGCCACACCGTGCTCAGCCAGTGAGTGCTGTGAGCCCACCTGTCATCCCTATATAGGATCCGAACCCACAGCGGGAGCGCTGCTGCGCTCCCAGCGCTGCACTCTCCCGAGTGCGCTATGGGCTCGGCCCCTAAAATCAACATTTAACCCTGAATATTTGACTGAAATGTTTGATTTTCCCACTAAACCATACCACATGCCATTGCCTATTTTTCAATGCTAAAACAAACTGACTCTGCAAACTAAAGTAATTCAGCATTTATGACAGTCAGCTCTGACTTTCAATAAGCACAGGTACGCATTCTTAGGGAATGAAGGGTATTATAATGGCTATTTCTTTTTTCTTTTTTATTTATTTATTTATTTATTTATTTTGTCCTTTTTGAGACCGGCCGCACTGCACTCAGCCAGTGAGTGCTGTGAGTGCACCGGTCATCCCTATATAGGATCCTAACCCGCAGCGGGAGCACTGCTGCGCTCCCAGCGCCGCACCCTCCCGAGTGCGCCACGGGCTCGGCCCTATAATGG